CAGCCAGTTGCTTCTCAATCAAGGTTCAGACTCTTTATCTGATAAGTCTTCTTATAATATGGAAAGACCTTCACAACACAGCCCAAACCTGTCTTACTCATTATTGCCTGAGTGTGGCTAGCAGCTGGTAGGATAGTGATACCTTTACATTTTTCTTTCTTTTTTTTAAAACATTTAATTTTTACCTTATTTTCCTCTATTACATGGAAACAAAATTTTTTAACATTAGTTTTTAAAAATTTTGAGTTTCAAATTCTCCCCTTCTCCTCACCCCTCCTTGAGAAGGCAAGCAATTTGATGTAGATTATAAATGTGCAGTCATGCAACACATTTCTATGTTAGCCATGTCACAAAAGAAATCATAAAACAAAAAAATCCAAACATAATAAAGTTCTTAAAATGTATGCTTCAATCTTCATTCAGATTCCATCAATTCTTTTCCCAAAGGTGGACAGCATTTTTCACCATGCTGAGAATAGCTGTCATTCACAAGTGATCATCATACAATATTGATTTTACTGTTTACAATGTGCTCCTGATTCTGCTTATTTCATTTTGCATCAGTTCATGTAAATCTTCCCATGTTTTCCTGAAAGAATCCTGCTCATAATTTCTTATAGCACAATAGTATTCCATCACAATCATGTATCACAGCTTGTTCAGCCATTCCCCAACTGATAGGGGTCCCCTGAATTTCCAGTCCTTTGACAGCACAAAAAGAGCTATTATAAATATTTTTCTACGTATAAGAACTCTTACTTTTTCTTTGATCTCTTTGGGATACAGACCTAGTAGTAGTATTGCTGGGTCAAAGGATGTGCATACTTTTCTAGCCCTCAGGGCATAGTTCCAAATTGCTTTCCAGAATAGCTGGATCAGGGGGCAGCTAGATGGCACAGTGGAGAGAGCACCGGCCCTGAAGTCAGGAGGACCTGAGTTCAAATCTAGACTCAGACCAAACACTTGACACTTACTAGCTGTGTGACCCTGGGCAAGTCACTTAACTCCAATTGCCTAAAAAAGACCCCCCAAAACCCCCAAAACACAGGATAGCCGGATCAGTTCACAACTCCACCAACAGTGTATTAGCATCCCAATTTTCCCAAGTCCCTCTAATATTTATCATTTTCCTTTTCTGTCATATTAGCCAATCTGATAGGTGTGAGATGGTACCTCAGTTATTTTGCATCTCTCTAATCAATAGTGATTTAGAGCATTTTTTCATATGATTATAGATGACTTTGATTTCTTCTTCTGAAAATTTCCTGTTTATATCTTTGATCATTTATCAATTGAGAAATGACTTGATTTGACTCAGTTCCATTTATTTGAGAGTGAGGCAACAAAGCCCCTTGTGCAGGTATGAATATTGCAGAGCAAGATTCAGATAGCAGATAATCATCCCGGTCTTAGATGTGGCATAGGGTTATTTTCTGGATTATCCAGAAAACTTCTCTGCCTTGGATGTATCTTTATGTCTTTCATGATCCTGGGAAGGTAACCAGAGTAGTAGTATAATAGATGCATTTTCCTTCTTACTTGGTCTCATATGCTGTGGATATGCTTCTTGCATGGTTCATTTTCCAGTTCAGAAAAGTTTTATTATTAGGCCATCTTGAGATAGCACAGGCTGCATCTCAGATAAAGCACTTGTCTGTGTTTAGAAGCTCTAAACAATGCAGTCCTTTCCTCAGGCTTATGTCTCCTCTAGTCTACCACATATTGCCAGCAGCCCTAGATCCCCTGAGAAACCAAGATAGCCCTGGTAACAAATTTGTCCAAGCTATTGATCATCATCAGGGGAGAGCATGGGTGTGGCTGGTATAGTTCAGACTCCAGATATGCCAGATGGGATAGGAACCTACCAAAAATGGAAGTGAATCCATAAAGAAGCTGATATTTTTAGTCACTAGGCCATGGACTGATTTTCTTCTCTACTAAGCATGAGCCAATTTCCTGCTTAACAAGTTTCTGAAGGATAGAGTTATGTAGAAGATGTTCCTTTTGGGTTTTGTCCTCTGTCTTGGAGTTTTAGTTTGGGGCAGTAGTGTTGGTAGAATTCTTCCACTAACTCTAGACTTTAGAGGTTTATGTGTAGGCTCCCAGGATCAGCACCAAGGCTAGGGAAAGTAGTAGTACTGACAGCAACTGTGTTAAGTGGGGGTGGGTTACAATCTTTTTCATGGGCTACCCAGACATTATTCCTGTCCTGAAATATTTCCCTCAGCCACTAATATGGATTGTCCTTATTTCCCACCATGTCTTTCCACCAGTGTGCAGTCTTATTCATGTAGAAGGTGACTTGTAGGTCAGATTAGGCAGCCTCCCACCCCAGTTGTACACTGTATCAACTGCCAGGATGTCCACATAGGCATTGAGTATGGGAAAAAATGGAAGTGAAATCCATTTTACATGTGAAATAGGGTTGTAGGATCATAGATCTTGAGGTATAAAGAATTTCAGAGGCCATCTAATCCAACCTTTCCCACCCCCACCCATTTTAAAGATAAGGAAATGAAGCCCAGGGAGGTTAAATTATTTTTCAAAGGTCACACAGTTAGTAAACAATGGCGATGAGATTTGAACTCACATCCTCTCCACTATATCACACTGCTCTCTATTGTAGGTTATGGGTAGTTGAGTGGAATGAGTTACAGGCAAATTTGGTGAATAATGATTCCTTCCAATTGTCTTGTTGATGAAGGGTGCAAAATCTTAACTACTACTGCAAGGTGGAGTTTGTGTATTCAGTCTGCCTACCACATGGAAGTAGGGATATAGAGATGATGAACCCTTACAATGAAAGCAGGGAATGTACTAGGAATCATGACTGGAAATGAGGAGAATAGATAGACTGTGGAGTAGCAACATTACTGGCATCAATAATTGAGAGCTTCTGTGGCAGTGGGAATGTGAAGATAAGCCAAATTGTTTCTGCATCCCTATGCTTTAGTGGTGAATGTAGGGGAGTAGAGAAAGGAGATGTTGAGGAAGAAATAGAATTAATGGTTTAATGAGTTGAGGGTGACAGAATTATCGCTAGTCAATGGACTTCAGGATAGTGTGTTAAAGATAGTATTAAGCCAGAGCTGAAATTATCCATTTCTATTCTTGTTTCCCATCTCCTTTCATATAACAATAGCAACATTAATAGCAAGCATTTATATAGTGACTACTATGAATATGCCAGGAATTGTGCTAAGCATTTTACAAGAATCATCTCATATGATCTTCAAAACCACCCTAAGAGGTAGTTGCTATTATTTTCATTTTACAGTTGAGGAAACTGAGGCAAACAAAGGTTAAGTGACTTGCCCAAGATCACACAGCTACTAAGTGTCTGAGGCCAGATATGCTGTTGGTTGTTGTGCTTCACTCTTGAAGAGGACAAAAATGACATCACTATGCTAGAGTCAAGTTACCTTGTGTCCACCTGTGGCTGATCAGACCTATATGAGCGCAGAATGTTCAACCACAGGTCGGGCGTATCTCAGGTTCTTTTGAGCTATTTCAATTATGCTTTGCTCATGGAGCACAGCACCTTTTCTGATTTGGGCAGGCCATGCTGAGTGGTCCTGTGCCACTGTCTCCCATGTCACACAATCAATTCCAAAGTTCTTAAGAGAGACCTTGAGAGTGTCTTTGTCATAAAACTTTTCTTTGACCTCATCAGGGTTTGTCATGGGGGAAAGCATAGGAAGTAACGATGGTGGCATGTCATTTTCCTGAAAGTGGCAATCTCGTTGTCATAAGCCTGTCATTCACTCCTTTTGATAGGCATACAAGCTTGTTGATTAGATTAGTTTTGATTGCAAAACCTACACCAACTTCACAGCACTCCGTTTCACTGCAGCCACTCCAGAAAAATGTGTATCCAGCTCCAACTTCAGTAAGCTGGCTTTCATTTGCCAGCCTTGTTTCACTCAGAACTGCTATTTGGATGTGATACTTGCTGAGTTCTCTTGCAACAAAAGCTGTCCACCTTTCAGGTCTACTGGATTTTGTGTTGTCCGTAAGTGTGCGCACATTCCATGTGCCAATGGTGAGTGGAAGACATTGCAGTGCAGACGTTTTTGTACATTTTTTCATGTTTCAACCGCAAGGTGAGATCCCCATCTGCTGCGGTAATCAGGCCAGATTTGGGTAAACAGACAATTTTTAGGGCACCTTTTCTAGCCCCTTCTTCACACCAGGAGGTGAGCAGTATGATTCTTAAAAAGCTGCTCAGACACCCAGGGGGCTGCCGAATCCCACTGTTGCTTCCAGTGAGAAGACAACCCTATGACCTGGGCCACCTGGGTGCAGGACGGTGACTACAATTCCCAGTGTATTCCCACCAGCTGCTTTGTCACTTGCCTTTTGCCACAGGACTTTCAGATAGGCAAAAAATGGTAAAATCATAGGGGTGATGTCTTTTGATTTGTGTGCAAATTGGATTTAAGTGAGACAGAATTGCACAAAGTTGTTTGCCTCTCCTCCAGAGTCATCACAGCCCAGTGGCAGTACAGAGTCAAGATGACTGTTGATGGCTCAAGATGCAGTTGGATGACCTTGATGTCTTCGATGTCTAACCAAGCTCTAAGCACTCCATAGCACTGCTTCAATTGCCTTCACGGCCATTGGAACAAATTGTTCTCATCTGCCCATTCCACCAGGTGAAATCTTCACATGTTTGGGATAGGCACCCTCCTAACTCACCAATGGGTTTGAGACCCATTGGTTACCAACTCAACCTGGTTTAGCCCATCTGCCAAAACGGTTTACCAGGGTGTGGCCACTGCATATTCTACAGCTTCTTGGAGCCACAAGTGAGAGTTAGGTGGATCAGGTGGACACTAAAGGTAGAAAGCAGCCCTGAAAAGGGCTCGGCAGCCTTCACGCCAGAGGTACTAGTCTTCCCTAAACACACCCTACACCCCTAGATATGCTGTTAACTTATTTTAAAATGCCTCAAAATAAATTTATGTTAGGGTAATTAGTCTTCCTTTCCTTTCTTGCAGATGACCTTCTGTAACAGGAGTTTAAGACGGATAGTACCTGAGAATCTTCTGGAAAAGAGTAAATCAATCCCACCCAAACTTTCTCGAGTGAATGGCTGGTCTCTGCCCCTCAACTCTTTCCAGTTTGTTGCTTGGACAGCCTATGTGTACATGACTATCGTAGCATTTGGATTGTTCATTCCTTTGCTGCCATATTTTTGGAAGAAACTCACCTACATTGTATCCTTTTTGTCTGTAATTCAAAGGAGATTTGCCAATCTCTAATATGAAAGAGTGAACTACCAATAGAGACATGAAAGAGAGTATATTGAAATCAGGTTAGATATTCTTAGGTGAATACAGATCACATCCAAAGATGTGTTTTTCATTGGCTTTGGAAGCCACCTCTTTAAGAGTTTGAGATTTTTTTCAAAATTAAAAAAAACCTGTATTTATGTTTTTTGGGTTTTTTATATCACCTTTGTTTCCAAACAGGTACCCTCTTTCCAACTTAAAGAGCTATCTCTTGTAACAATATTTTAAAAAATAAATAAAAAGAAAAAAGCAATTTAGCAAAAGTAATTAACACATCAATTGTTTGACAATATATGCAGTGCTCCAAACCCATAGTCCTTCACCTCTTCAGAGAAGGGAGGAACTTACATTTCCTCATCTCCTCTCTAGAGTCAAGCTCACTCATTATAATTATAAAGTGTTCAGGTTCATGTTTTTCATTCTTTCCATTTACATTGTAATATTCATTAGGCATATTCTTTTCCTGATTCTGCTTGCCCTAGTAACCTTCAGTTAATTTATCTTCCTGTGTTTCTCTGAATTCTTTACATTTATTTCGTATGACATATTAATATTCTGTTTCATTTATATATCATGTTATTCCTCAATGATGGATATCTATTTTTTCCTATCAATATTTTGTTACCAATACAAAATGCTGATATGAATATTTTGGTACATATGGGATATCTCTTTCTATTTTTGATGTTCTTGGTATAATTGCCTAGCAATAGGCTCTCTGGATATGAATAATAGCTCTAGAGCTGGAAGGGACCTCAAAGGCTATCTAATTCAATGCCTTTATTTTACAGATGAGAAAACTGAGGCCTGAGAAGTTTAGGTGACTTGCCTAAGGTCACACTGATAGCAAACATCAGAGATCAAATTTGAACTCAGGTTCTCTGCTTCTAGAGTCAATGTTCTTTCCTTTTTATCATGCCTCTGTCAGAGGATATTTTAGTTACTTAAAAAAAAAAACAATTTACTTTCCAGAATGATTGAGGCATTTCAAGTTCTATCAATAGTTTATTTCTTAGGTTATCTTTCTACAGGCCTTCTGATTTTGACATTTTCTTATCTTTGTCAATTCTCAGAGTTCTATCTTGAAATTTCCCTTCCCACTTAATCCTACTGCTGGAAAATGAAGGAAATTTCAGGATAGAATTGAATGGCACACAGACTAAGCCCTTGGCCTTGAGCATCCTTCATGTTAACTGAAGAATGTTACAAAAGGAGTTGATGGGGCTCAGATCATTTATAGTTAATTCAGTGTGAAATAATGGGAAAAGTGCTTGATTTGGAATCAGAAGACACAGATTCCTGGCTCTGCTACTTATTTATTGCCCGGACAATAATGACTTGAATGGCCAAATCATTTTATTAATCTTGGTTCAGTTTTCTTACCTGTAAGGAATTAGATGATTGGTATCCAAACTTTTTTCTTGCATTTGTTTATGAGTTATTTTATACTCTAGAATAGTAATGTCAAACTCAAATAGAAATGGGGGCCAGTAAACTAAACATAAATATCCCTGTAGGCTTCATATTGAAAACTATTTATTAACATAAATTAGAAAACTACGTATTGACATAATCTGTGTTCCATTGTATTTTTTTTTGTTAAATATTTACCTATTCTTTTTTAATCTGGTTTAAGCCACAAACCAGAGATTTGCAGGTCACACTGTGCCCTACAGGCCTTGTGTCTGATACCTCTGTTCTAACACATGATCAGTTTTTGTAAGGGTACTGTCCAAAGCTTAGAAATACATATGCTCCCTTCTTTTCCCATTCAATAATCATCAGAGGTCCTATAATTAGATATTTATATTTCTTAAATTCTATTATTTGTTTAGTTCTTGCTTATATTTTTATTAGATTTATCTTGTTCTAGAAGGGAGCACTTCCAGGTCCTCATCTATTATAGTTTCATTGTACATCTTTTTCTACAGTTCAGTTAATTATCCTTTCAAGTGTTTAGACACTTTGCCTTTTCAATGTATATAAAGTAAATACTGATGTTATTTTATTATCTATGGTACCTTTAAGTATATGTTTTTCTGTTTATTTGCATTCTCTTAAGGCTTAATAAATTGTATGCCCATTCTTCAGTTTAACCCTATATTATTCTTTATGTTTCAAATGTGTTCCTTACGAACAACATATTTTTGGATTCTGTTTCCTAATCCATTCTGCTATCCACCTCTGTTACGTGACTGAATTCATCCCATTCATATTCATAGTTATGATGATTATGTTTTCCCCTACATCATAAACTTAACTTTTTTTCTCTCATTCCCTGCAACCTTGTTTTTATAAACAAACCAAAAAAGAGTATGGAAAGAAGTGAAATGGGATCATATTACTTTATCTATAAGTGGAGTGAGTTGATCCTACTCTTTTGCCTTCTTTCTCTTTACTTAGCCCTTACTCAAATTATTGGGTCTAGCACTTTGTTTCTCTTTCTTCAATCTCCCCTTGATGATAAGCCACTTGGCCCATGGCTATTCTCTCCACATTTCTGTCCTTTCTCTTAAATTAGTCTTTCCTACTCCCTGTCCCTGCCTTCTTCCCTATTAAATTTCATGTATTTCTATGCTACACTCTGTGTGTGTGTGTGTGTGTGTGTGTGTGTGTGTTATCAATTCTCCTTTAACCAGTTCAGTTAAGAGTGAGATTCATGAGATGCCCACTCTCCCCAACTCCCACTTCCATATTTTTATGGATTTCTATGAGAAGCAATGAGTTCTTCCTCTTGTTTCTCATTTCTCCTCTAGTATGCTCCTTTTCCTCTCCTTTTCTTTTCTCTCCTAAAGCCAGCAAAACAGAACAAAATCGCCCCCAGACCTTGTGTTTCTCTTTTTTAACTGGGTTTCTGAAAATAGATCTGTCTTTTCTCCACCTTTTAGAATATAATCACCTGATTTTATATCATTTAGTCTAATTGCTCAATTTTATTTACTTTCCTAGATTTCTCTTCTCTCCTATTTTTGGGTTTTTTTTATTAATTTATTTTGCTATATCAAAAATCACGTACATAAGCTTTTGACTTTTAAATTTTTCTCCCCCTCCCTTCTCATCTTTCTCTCCAAGATAGTGTGCAATCTGATATAGGCTCTACATGTACATTCTTATTAAACATATTTTCACATTAGTCATGCTGTAAGGAAGAATTAGAACCAATAGAAGGAACCACCAGAAAGAGGAAACAAAACAAAACAGAAGGAAAAAGAAGAGCAAATAGTATGCTTCAATCTGCATTCAAACTCCCTAGTTCTTTCTTTGGATGTGGATAGCATTTTCCACCATGAGACTTTTGGAGATGTCTTAGATCCTTGCATTGCTGAGAAGAGCTGTCTATCAAAGTTAGTCATTGCACAATGTGTCTATTACTGTGTACAAGCTTCTCCTGATTCTGCTCACTTCACTCAGCATCAGTCCATACAAGTCTTTCCAGGTTTTTCTGAAGTCAGCCTGTTCAGCATTTCTTATAGCTCAAATAGCATTCCATTACATTCATATACCACACCTTGCTCAGCCATGCCCCAATTGATGGACATCCCCTCAATTTCCGATTCTTTGCCACCACAAAAAGAGCTGCTATAAATATTTTTTGTACATATGGGTCCTTTTACCATTTTTATAATCTCTTTGGGATACAGCCCTGGAAGTGCTGTTGCTGTGTCAAAGGGTATGCACATTTTTATAGCCCTTTGGGCATAGTTCCAAATTGCTCTCCAAAATGATTGAATCATTTCACAACTCCACCAACAATGCATTAGTGTTCCAATTTTCCTACATCTTCTCTAACATTGGTCTATGTTTTTATTTCAAAGATTCTACTCAGCTCTGGCGTTTTCATCAGGAATTCTTAGAAGTCCTTTTTCTATTAAAGATCCATTTTTCCTTTGTAGCATTATATTTAATTTTGCAGGATAAGTTATTGTTGGCTATAAATCTTTTTCTTTTTCTTTTTGTTATAACATATTCCAAGATCATTGAATTCTGTTTATTTCATTCTATTTTTTTCAGGGTGTCTGCTGCTGTTTCCACCTTTTGTTCTAAGTTATTTATTTTCCTTCTAGTTTTTTTTTCAAGAGGACAATATCATTGATCAAGAGCTGGTCCAACCTTCTTGTTTTACAGATGAGAAAGCTGTTGCCCAGGGAGGTTACATGACTTTCCCAGAGTCACACAGATAACAGTATAAGGAATGGAATTTAAATTTAATTCTCAAACTCTAGAGCTAGGGTTCTTTCCATTGTACCAGAAGGTTATAATTTTACTTTTATCTCTTACTTCATTTCTTCCCTCCACCCTTGTATTCCTTATGGCCAATCCATTGTCTGCCTGAGTATATGTGTAGAGTTAATCTTTCTTATTCTAGTTTCACCTGTTGGAATTCTTCTAACCACATTTTTTATTTATTGCATTGGGAAATTGTTCTTTTTTTTTCTTTTTTAATGTATTCCTCTGTCTCTAGCCTCAGTTCCAGAATTGGAACTTTGGGCCTATCCAATCAAACTTTACCCAATTTGACACTCTTGGATGAAATGGCTAAGCCTAGACCCTGTCTCTGCTGTGGTATAGATGCTACCATTACTTCCCTGCCCCAGTTCTTAATGGAATAATTTAGTCTTGGCCCCCCACCTGTCCTCTTCCACAATTCTGGCCTGTATCTGGCTGTTGAGTCATGAGTTAAGGCTGCCTCAATATCTAGCTTCCATTTCTGTCTCCTGGTGGTCCAATGGGTGCAATGGCCTCTATACCCTCTCTCTACCTTATTATGGAGTAAGCATTTGGTTTTGTCCCCTGTTGTGTCGCTGACAAAGTCTGACCACATGTTGGAGGTTATATTGGCTTCACACCTCCTAGAAGGACCTGCCTGGGCCTCCTGGAAGGAGGCTGCCTGGGTGCCTCAGACCCTTTTATCTACTGTAATATGC